CTCTCCGGGGCTGGGCCTTCTCATCTCAAACAGGGATCCTTCTAGGCTTTTGTGACGGTTCTGTGACGTCAGGGACGTGAGCCGACTGAAATACTAGCTTCTTCTTGCCGCTACAATAAAAGACTACAAATTTAACATAAACTTATCCCCTTATAGTTCTGGAGTCAGGAGTCGGACCCGGGCCTCCTGGCCAACACCCAGGCGTGGGCAGGGCCGGTTCCCCCGGGGCCCCAGGGAGCCCCATGTCCCCCTTTTCCGGCTGCCAGAGGCGCCACATCCTGGGCCCGCCGCCCCTCCTCATCCTCACGGCCAGCAGCGCGGGGTCCGCCCGGCTCTCTGCCTCCCTCTCGTGAGGACGCCGGGCCCCCAGGGCACCCCAGGTCACCCTGCCTCAGGGGCCCGGACAAGGTCCCCTCTGCTGTGTGAGGGGACACATCTGTAGGTCCCAGGACGGGATGTCTCTGGGGTTGTCAATCTGTCAACTGCCCTAGTATCTGACAGACGGGTGAGTTCAGGCTCTGTGGGAGGGACCTTAGTTCCAGGTCTGGTACTGGATTTTCACTCGGCATCTGTGGACACGCTCTGCCGCGCTGTGCCTCAGTTTCCCAACTTACAAAATGGGAACCATACATCCTCTTCTGCAGTCCCAGGGTCCTAGTGTGAAAGAGTCCTGCTCAGACCAGCCAATCCCGGTGTGACCTGAGGGATGCCTGCCCCCTGCCTTAACCTCATGCCGCTCTGTAAACCAAAAGGCGCTACTTGGCTCTGTGACGTAGGCGCGGAGAGAGGCTCCCAGGCAAACACAGCGGGGGGCCGAGGCTGTTTCGGACCCCACGGGGCCCTCCCACGGGCCAGGGTCAGGGCCCTTCATCTGTCAGTCGGAGACCCCTCTGGGCTGCATCTCCAACACAGACCCTGTCCCCACCTCTCTCTACCCTCACGTTGCCCGGGTCCAGGTCTTCTCCCCTCACCCCCTCCTGGGTCTCTCTGCTGCCCTTCCAGCCCCCACTCCCACCCCGTTTCCATAGCGCCACCAGAAAGACCCTTTCAAACCCCCAACTCCACCCTGCGACCCCTGCTTAAAACCATCTACAGCCAAATTTGCCAGCAAATCTCTTATCTCTCCTTCTCTAAGCTCCATGTAGGTCTCCTGCTGTTACCCAAACACGCCAAACTCATTCCCTGCCACTGGGCCTTTGCACTTGCTTTGCCCCTGCCTGGAACTCTCTTTCCCAAGTCATTTCGTGTCTGGGGCCTCACAGCTTCAGGTCTCAGTTTAAATGTCATCTGCCGAGAGATGCCTTCTCCTTAATGCCCCTGCTGAGGTGACCACCCAGTCTCTCACTCTGGTACTTTCGTTCCTGCATCGTAATTTAGCACCTGCCTGCACCTTCCATTTATGTGTTCTCTTGGTTAGTTACTGTCAGTGTCTCCCTCTAGAATGTAAGCCCTGTAAGGGCAGGCACCAGATCTTCCCCATTTCCGACCAGATTGTCAGTGCCTGGCAGGGTGGGCATGCATTAAATACCTGCTGCATTGACAAAAATGTCATGATCATTGGAAGAACCCAACACCCCGCACCCCACAACGCAAGCATCTGAACTCTGAACATCCTACACGCCTGCCGTCACAGCCAGTGGGCAGACACAGCTCCCCTGTCAAGTCCGCAGCACTACCCACGAGACACTCTTGCTACAAAGCCACTTCTGAATCCAGTCAAGCCTGTGGACCCACTGCCAGGACTCAGGGAGGGAAAGGGCAAAGAACCCAGTTAAAAGACGCCGTGAGAAAAGAGACCCAGAATGTGGGGCGGTCCACAGCCTCAACAACTCCACGTTGGGCCTGAGGCTCTACACATCTAACAGGCCCCCTGGGATGTGATGTCGCACACCTGGACCCCACGTGGAGGGAGTGTCTGGGACATCCAGAACGTCCACCCTATCAGAGGCACAGTCCTCTGCTGGGGCCGGCCCTATCAAAGTACCACAAACTGGGCCGCTTACAACAACAGAAACATACATGCTCCCAGTTCTGGAGGCCCAGAAGTCTGAAAACAAGGTGGAGGCAGGGCCGCACTCCGTCTGCAGGCTCCAGGGGAGGGTCCTTCCTGCCTCCTCCAGCTCCCGGTGGTGGTGAGCGGCAACCCTTGGTGCCCCCAGGACTGTGGCTGCATCACCCCAGCCTCTGCCTCCGTCCTCCGTGGCTTCTCCCTGTGCGTCTGTGTCCTTATGCCCTCTTCTCATAAACACACCAACCATTGCATTAGGGCCACCCTCCAGGATGACCTCATCTTAACGTGATTGCTTCTACAAAGACCCTATTCCTAAATAAGGCTGCATTCGCGGGTCCCCACGGACATGAATTTAGCGGGAGACACTACTCAGCCCAGTCCTGGGAGAGGTGCTGGACACGGTTGTATAACCAAATGCAATCACATTAACTTCCAGGCTCCTGGTCCCCAAAGGCCAACTGACGGGGTGTGAATGACTACCAGTTTGATGACACTTCGGGATCTCTGGTGATTTCCCAGACGTAACAATGAGCTGTGCGTGTGCAGGAGGACGGCTATCTAGGGAGACGCGTGCGGGACATCTCACAGCAAGCGTCACACTCGGCCGCTTACTTCCTTCTGCTTCAAGGAAAACTACACGCCAGGATAGGTATTTTGAGTGGACAGGCGAAAATGTTGACCGTCGTAGATGCAGGTACACAGGGGCTGTTCCGTGCGTTTGCAAGGTTCCCAG